TCGCCGAGTTTGGTCAAGATATCTTGATAAACAAACTGTTTTTTCATACAAAAACTTCGTTTTCGACCGATAGTTCCTATGGCAGCTATATGATATAGTGGTTCGATCCAGCTGGTTTTAACATATGTGCTGCGTGCAACAGAAAGAGGGACTTTTAGCTTTAAAACTGAGAGACTAGTTGGCATAAAAACAGACAAACGGACAAACGAGAATGGCTCTATCGACTCGGCTGTTGATGCTGATCAAGAATATATATACTTTATGGGGTCGGATTGTCTACTTCTATGCGTTACACATTTCATGACAATATTATAATACCCTGAGCAAGGGTATAAAAAATATCAATAGTGATTCGCGAGTGACCAAAGTGCCGATATACATTTCAGAATTGCTCACGATAAGAGCATTAAAAATTTCCTATACACGGAAATACAGTGTGTCTCTAAAAGAAGTATTAACAATTACCAACAGAAGGAAAAAGACTGTTTTAAAAAAAAGCTCAAAAGAGTCTAAAAAAAGTTTACGATAAACGGAATCACAAAGTGTTAGCAAAAAAAAAGACTTGAAAGTCAACCAAAAATGTTCAATAATATCAAACCACGTTGAGTAGAAAATATCATCACATTTGTTTGTGCGAATTATACATAATCAGAATAAGACAAGGGAATACCCTGAACCCTCTTATTCCAACACCAAATAAATTAATAAAAAAAGTTCCCTTGGCAGGGCTCGAATTTGCAACTGACCGTATTACTTACTGTCGACTCTACTCAACAACCACACCAGCAAAAAAAAAAAAAAATAATACTTTCCCCGGTAGGGCTCGAACTCGCGACAGACCACACCACTTGCTATGCCTCTACTCAGCAGCCACACCAACAATTAAGTACTTATGATAAAAAAAGGAACTAAATAACATTACAAAAAAAAGATGCAATTACCATGCTATTAGAATGCGAAGCAGACGCGCATGAATGTGTGTGTGTACATGTATACAGAAATTCTTAAAGCTGCTGCCCCATTCAATTGCGCAGTTGCATATAACTTTGGTTTATCTTAATCGATCTTTATGAAATTTTCTACAGTATATCTCATTGTACCATAGAATATTTGTGTATTCTGAAAAAAATCAATTGCATTTAAATTGTGGTTTAAATTGGTTGGCAATAAAAGTTGGGTTATTAACTTGATTTATAGCTCTGGGGTGGTAGTGATAGGTATGAAATGAAAGATACTTAAAATATCTATAATATTTTAGAAGCAACATATCATGGTTGGTGGCTCTAGCTCTTATTATTTACCCAATTTGCTAAAAAAAACAGGATGTCGATATCGATTTTTATCGATTGTTTGGAAACGGAGTAAGTTATCGATTATCGGAAACAAACTCGATCTGTGCAGGCAATAGGAGCACCTACATCTAAAATTTCAGTATCTAGCTCTTATAGGTTCTGAGATCCTTGCGTTCATACATACGGACGGACGGACGGACAGACAGACGGACATAGATAGATCGACTCGGTTATTGATGCTGATCAATAATATATATACTTTATGGGGTCGGCGAAGCTTCTTTCTGCCTGTTACATACATTTGGATTTTACACAAATACAATATACCCTTATACCCATTTTTAACATGTTCAATCTACACGCAGATCTATTAGTCGACTATAATCTACTGAAGTTGATTAAAGCAGTAATCGACTTATGAAATGGAACTCTGATCCATAATGACAAAACGGAAAATATTAATTTTGTAAAAAATGTCCAGGAAACGGTTGGCAATTTAAAAATTTCTAGCGAAGACTCTTATTTGGACTTCCAAAGCAGAAAATGTAACTCATTTTCCCTATTTAATGTATCCAATACAGAACCATCGCCATTAAGTGACGCTGATAGCCCACGTATCCAAGAAAATAAAGTTGACGATAGTCCTAAGGACGAAAAGCAAAAGAAGAAAAAAGTAAAAAAGACAAGTTCTTCTTTGTGCAAAATAAATCATTCCATTAATGAACTTGAATATCCTTGAGTAACAAGTCGTTCAACAAATACAAATCAAGCATTCTCAGAATCAAACGTGTATTCCTTTTATAACAGATATTAGAGGAGAGATAGGAACAGTAAGCGAAAATGCCATTCATAGTAAGCAATATCCTTATCCTCATTCAGCTAATAATTTCGCTTGTCAGGAAATAAAAAGGATGTTAAACGAAAACATAGTAGGGCCCAGCGGAAGTCCTTATAATGCCCCGGTACGGGTAGTAGGAAAAAAGGGTTTTAATGAAGATGGATTCCGATAGGTATCCAATGCCTGATCCTTCAGTTATCTTGCCCAACCTAGGCAAAGCAATACTCTTCTCAACAGTAGATCTAGAATCTGGTTTTCATCAGACTCTAATAAAATTAGCTCGATCGACTCGGGTATTGATGCTGATCAAGAATATATATACTTTATGGGGTCGGTGATGTCTCCTTCTATGCGTTACACATTTCATGACAAAATTATAATACCCTCTGCAAGGGTATAAAAAGAAAAAAAGTTCCCTTGGCAGGGTTCGAACACGCAACTGACCACCTTACTTGCTAACGACTCTACTCAACAGCCACACCAGCCAAAAAAAAAAAAGGCAAGTAGGGCTGGAACTCGCGACAGACCGCACCACTTGCTATACCTCTACTCAACAGCCACACCAATAATTGTGTAACATTGAGAAAAATTAAAATAGCAACACAAAGAGTAATCGCAATTGCAATTGTTGATAGAAGTCGAAGCAGACGCGCATGAATGAATGTAAATGTATACTGAAAATCTTGAAGTTTTCGCTAGCTGCCCCATACAAATGAGCAGTTAAATATAACTTTGGTTTTTTCTTAACCGATCTTAACGAAATATTCTACAGTATATCTTATTATACCATAGAATATTTCTGTATTCTCAAAAAGTCAATTGCATTAAATAGGCGAGCAAATAAGTTGGGTTATTAACTTGATTTATAGCTCTGAGGTGGTAGTGGGGAGGTGGCGATTGATATAAAATAGAAGATACTTGATGTATATATAATATTCTAGAAGCAACATATCAAATTTAGTGACTTTAGCTCTTAATATTTACCCAAACACAAAAAATGGGATGTCAATATCGATTTTTATCGATCTGCGCACACTAGGAGGATCTACAGCTAAAATTCAAGTCTCTATCTCTTATAGGTTCTGATATCCTTGCGTTCATAAAGATAATATTAATTTCTAACCTATTTATGTTTTTTATGTATTTTTAGAATGCACATTTCATATATTCATCTGGTTTATTGACGATAATTTGGAAAAATAACTTAAATTCTTTAAAAATGAAAACAATATTATCATTATCATTTAAAACAATAATAAGCAAAAGTCAAATCAATTCTGCAATTTTCAAAGAAGTTACCAAAATCACGAATCTTTCAAAAATTAATTAATGTACATTACTTTTAAACTAGAAAGAAAGGCTATCTTCGGCAGATCGAATATCTAAAACCGTTGCGGACCCAACATTTTCATATCTAAGAATCTTTTCGTATCTAAGAATTACAGGGAAAATAGTTAGTGCCGAGTTTGGTCAATATATCTTGGTAAACAAAAAAGGTTTTTAATCAAACACCAAGTTTTCGACTGATTGTTCCTATGGCAGATATATGATATAGTAGTCAGATGTAAATAAACTTTTGCATGTATATGAGGAGCCTCGTGAAACTAATAAAGGCCGAGTTTGGTCAAGGTATCTTGATAAACAAAGTATTTTTCATACAACTTCATTTTCGACAGATCGTTCCTATGCCAGCTATATGATATAGTGATCAGATTTTAATAGGGTTTTGCATATTGTAAGGAAGCTTCCGGCCGGGGTATAATTCTCAGTCTTACCAGGTCTAGCGAGTTACAAGTTACCAAACCCAGATCTACCTATACACACCTACACCATCGGGCCGTGGCCTCGCACCAACTCCACTACCTAAACATCAACCGGCAATGCCCACCCCGGAGCCACAATCTCGTACCCCATGCCCCTCGTTTGAGGTTAGGTCAAACACCGGTTAGTTCCGATGTTAAGGTAAGCTGGGTTACCAGGAAACAGAGAATAATCCAATACTTTCTACATAATTACAACGTTGGCACTTTATTCACTATTATTCATTCCGACCTTATCGTAAATCCTAAGCTAAACCCTGCCGCACTGTTTTCTGGAGCCCTAGCGCTCCACTACACCATCTATGATTTCGTTTATCTCGCGCAGCACTTCTACTCACCCTTAATGTTCAATCCCAAGTGTCGGCACGCTCGCCGGCAAGCAATGCGCTCGCTTCGGCTGCTCAACTTCGCCGCGAGCTTTCGCAACTTCGCCTCTAAGCTTTCGCTCTTCGCCGCCGAATTGAAGTTGAGCTCTCAAAGACCGATCGACAACGCACGGTTGCAGCGGCGGCCGGCGGTTAAATTCAAACTCACTATTTAAATCAATTATAATATTCGCGGCTCCTTGCCTCTTTACTCCTAATCGAACTGCTTATATTACTGATGGCTCCTTGCCTCTTATTTCACTAAGATCTTAACCTAATATAATTAATACTTATATCTAAAAAAAATTAATACGTTGTCCCGCCAGCGGCTCCTTGCCGTAATTTGGCCAAAGGGATGACGACTCCTTGCCGTGAAAACTGTGGGGTGGCTGGTCTCATTAGCCTCACAATATATAAGAGGAAAATAGTAAAACTAATAAATTCCGAGTCTGGTCAAGATATCTTGATAAACTAAATTTTTTTCATACAACAACTTAATTTACGACCGATCGTTCACATGGCAGCTATATGATATAGTGGTCCGATCTTAATAGGAATTTGCATATTTATGAGGAGCATAGTAAAACTAATAAATGCCGAGTTTGGTCAAGATGTGTTGATAATCAAAATGTTTTTTTATACAACAACTTAATTTTCCACACAGATAAGACCCGTGTTTAGTTCAGTGCGTGTATTTTTAGCTGCAGGTTTTTAAGAAGACTAGTGATGGTAAAGTGAATGGTTGATTAGTGATGTACGTTTTAAGAAAATTTACAACACGAGTGTTTGATACTAAATCAATTGACGTTCTGCTGCGAACATGCTCCCCCCGTTTGAAGTCGCAGGCTTTCCATCGAAGTGGTCTGGATAGGCAGAACGGCGATCTTTGTGATAGCTTTCTTGACAAGTGCGCTTGCAGTTTGAATGATGGCCACCTGCACAACACCGTCATCTCCTTTTATTGGTCTGTCGACTCGGCCGAGAGGCCATCTCAGGGAGGTAATGTTGTCCTCCTTGAGCAGCACGATGTCGCCAGGTTGAAGATTTCTCTTAGGAGCGCGCCACTTTCCACGCTCCTGCAGCAGTGAGAGGTAAGCGATGCTCCACTTCTTCCAAAAGGTCTGCTGCATGTAGCAAACACGTTGCCAGCAGCTAAGACGATCGATGTTCAGATGCGTCAAGTCGGGCTCGTCAGTAGAAGCGTTGGACTTGGACAGAGAAAGTGGCCAGGCGTAAGTACCTCCAAGTCACTTGAATTTTCTGTAATGGGACAGAGCGGTCTTGAATTTACTATGGTAGATATTTGGCAAAAAAGGGTTCGAAGTTCATGAAATGAGAGAACAGCATTTTAACGGTTAAAATGATGTTTGGCTGACTTCACTGTGGCTTCCCGTAGGCCACCAAAATGTGGCGATCCTGGCGGAATAAAGTGCCAAGTGATACCCAGCGCCAAGCATTCGTTGACGATCAGGCTGCGTTTAGGCTCACTCATGAAAAGTTTCCTTAGCTCCTTCAATTCATTTCGTGCGCCGACGAAATTGGTCGCATTGTCAGACCAAATGGAATTTGGCTTGCCTCTTAGACTGACGAATCGTTACAACGCAGCAATAAAAGACGGAGTAGAAAGATCTTCTACTAGCTCTAAGAGCGTTGCCTTTGTTGAGAAGCAAACAAAAATGGAGATATAGCATTTTGTTGGCGACCGATTTCTGACGCGGTCTGCTGGTAGTGGAGCCATGACTTGTTCCAAAATTTTGGGTCGCAAGCCATGTATTTCATAATTTGCTACCGGTGTCATAGCAAACCGTGGAAATTTCAGACTACAAACAAATGAGAGTTGCGAAGTGAGCTGAACCCAAACTGAATGCAATGACTGCGGAAGGCTTTCGTCCCAGTTGACCTTCTCTTCCCAAAGTGCTTGAAAAAAAATCTTCAGTTTGGTGATGATGGGTGAAATTAATTACTGCTTTACTTGATGTCGAATTTTACTGGCTTCCTCAATGGAATCCCCTCCAGAGATCAAATCATCGACATAGAAGTCCAGGCGGATGATCTTGGCAGCCAGTGGGAAATTGTGCTCCTCGTTGTAGGTAAGCTGTTGCATCGTGTGGATGGCTAAAAACGCAGCAGGCTTAGTTCCGTATGTAACCGTATCCGAAGAGTATGTTTTATTCCGGGCACGCGGATTTTCGCGCCATAAGATGCATTGCAGGAACTGGTCTGGAGGTGTTATGCGTACGCAACGATGCATCTTGATGTCAGCGCAGACTGCAACCTTGAAAAGACGAAATCTAAGCAGTATGTTGAAGATTTTTGGCTGAATGGGTGGACCAGCTAGTAGTAGCAAATCATTTAGGGATGCGCCTGATGTCGACTTAGCGGATCCGTCAAAAACGATGCGCAGTTTCGTTGATTTGCTGTCCGGCTTCTCCACCCAGTGATGTGGCAAATGAAACTGAGGTTTAGTTTGATTGTTAGTAACAAGCAACATACGACCCAGACTTATATATTCTTGCATGAACGCAGAATCTTTATACTTTAGTTGGTGATTTCTGCTAAGCTTGCATTCGAGACCTTTGAACCGTCTTAAAGCGCGATGATAAGAATCACCCAAGGCATCGAAGATCGTTTTCGCAGGCAGGCACACGGAATATAGGTCTGAGATGAGGCGTGCGCAGCCTTGCACAAATAATTTGTCACAGAGAGCGTCTTCATCAAAAGGAATGGGTGTGGAGCCACAGCAATTGTCGACCTCCCAAAAGCTTTTGACGATGCAGGACAGCGAATCCTCTACTGGGCATGGGTTGGTCTCATTAAGAAGAACAGCTAAAGATGTCTTACGTGAAAATCCGCCAGAGACGATCCACCCGAGTTTCGCCTTCTGGAGTCTCGGCAAGTTAATATCAATGCGAATCTGACCAACACAAATGAGCTCGAAAAATTGGCTAGCACCAAGTAGTAGATCGATCCGCTGGCTCTAAAAGAACGATGGGTCAGCGAGTTTGATGTTTTGGGGAATTTTCCAACCGGCAACGTCGATTTCAAAATGAGGCTGATATTCTGTTATTGTACGCGTTATGACGGCGGAAAATACTGTGCTGAATTTTCTGTTATGCGACTGAGCAGGAGCATCAGCAGACAAGTTAGAGGTTAAAGCTGCCAATGCCAATGCATGATATCGAGACGTTCGAATGATGAGTTGACAGCTGAAGAGTTTTGGCGAGTCTGCTGGTAATAAAGTTGTCCAGCAATGCGCGGCAGGGTATGTATGCTTCAGAGCGGCTCCTGGCGTATAGCCAGGACAGCTTCAAGTGTGATGTATCAGAGGCAGTCGTAATGAGAGCTGATGAGTTTTGAGGCAGCGTAGACGGAATATGAAAATGCATATCTCTAGCAGCCTGCGTGTTTTGTGCACTATGATCAAACTTAAGTTTGGAGTCATGTGCAGCAAAGAGTGGTGGACAATGTCTGCTTTTTCAGGCCTGATCAGCACTGCTGCAAGCTATGGCCCTTTTGTAAGCAATTCAAGCAAAGAAGCATACGTTCGGCTTCCTTATGGCGCAGATTGGGTGACAAATTTAAAAATCAAGTGCATTTAGCGAGATAATGATCTTTAGATTCGCAAAGTTGTTGATTAGATGAGACAATAAGTGTGTTGCGATATGCTTTGGATAAGTTTTTGCCCACCTGCAGGCTAGGTGTATGTGCCGTTGCGCTCCCCAAGTTTTCCAACATTAACATCTCTTTTCCAGATATGCTGACATATCCTTTCACGTTGGCAATTTATCTACTGAAAGTGCCTATTCCCATCGTAAGCTGCCTGCAGAACTGTTCTCGACTCCTGATAGCCCGAATATAGCCCGTACTTTGCCCTGAAAATACAATAATTTATTATTAAATCGCTTAATGGGCAATTCCAAGGACTTGTCGTAATTAGCGTCGGTAGGCTCCAATGACCTTATCGTGTCGATAGCAGCGCTATCTATGTTGCAATTTTTCAATCTTACGCAGATCTTCGTTGTTTCCGATGACTGTGTTGTACATGCCGTAGAAATCGGGCCAATCCTCGTAGGCACCGCTGAACCTGGGTAGCTACAACTTCGGTAAACGAGACTTACGGCTATGCGATTGTGACATTGTATTTGTCTCCTCAATGTAGCCGCGGATTGTAGTAAAGTTTGGGCAGGTCATGCGTACCTTGTTTACAGAATGCGGATGACGAGTGAGCTTCGATTTAACGTCCCAGTATAGCTGAGTAAATTCCGCACGGGTGTCTGATGCTAACTCCAGCAGGTCCAGATTTCCGAGCCCTGACTGGGAGTTCTCAAATGCTGACTTCATGTGGTCCACCGAACCATTGTATCGGTTTCATCGAAGCTTTCCAAATCGTCAGCGCTCAAATATGTGTTCATAGCTGCGAGCTGACGCTTAACTGATGCGCACTTAGCTCTGCAGAAGTCTATTTCGCTTGGCTCCATTTCACCTCTGCCCGTAGAAAGCGAACTTGCTGGTGGTTTCATTGTACAGAGTGTTCGCTGTACTTAGTCTTGCCGCCAAAATTAGCAAAAAGCGCGCGAAAGTGTACTGGATGCCCATGACAAACAGCGAAATTTAAGCGGGGGCAAAGCGCAGAGCCGATTACAGTTAGTTTCGAGCACGTATATGTATGTATGTATGTATTGCTAGATCTGAGGCATCGAACTGCAATGTGTGAGTGTGTGTGTGTGCACTTGGTTGAGGCTTTTTTTCGAGTGCGGGAATGGATGTGTTTAGCGCTGAACTGCACTAATCAGGTTTGTTATTATTTAGCCGCTCACAAACCGATATGAGTGCGTATGAGTGTGTCTGACTGCGGCGGCCAAGACAACAACGTTCGATACGAGAAAAGAAATTAAGAGAAAGAAAAGGGTGAAAAATAATGAAAAACTACGTCGGGGTTACCAATGTTTGAGGAGATGCTGCTTTGCATCCCACTTCGGCCTTTTATCAATTTAATTTTTACTTTTAATTATTTCAAACAGATAAGACCCGATTTTAGTTCAGTGCGTGTATTTTTAGCTGCAGGTTTTTAAGAAGACTAGTGATGGTGAAGTGAATGGATGATTGGTGATGTAAGTTGTAAGAATATTTACAAAGTATTTTAAAGTGACAATGAGAATGCAGCATAACATGATATTATATGTTTAATACCAAATCAATTGACGTTCTGCTGCGAACAGATTCTATAGAAGCTATATAATATAGTGGTCCGATCTTAATAGGATTTTGCATATTTATGTGGAGCATAGTAAAATTAATAAATGCCGAGTTTGTTTAAGATATCTTGTTAAACAAAATGTTTCATCATACAAACAACTTAATTTTCGACCGATCGTTCCTATTGTAGCTATATAGTAGTCCGATCCAGCTGGTTTTGATATATGTGCTGCGTGCGACAGAAAGAGGGACTTCTGCAAAGTTTCATAAAGATTGCTTTAAAGCTGAGAGACCAGTCGCATTTTTATTGTTGAACTCTTTCTCTTTTATGTAGATCGTGTCGTTCCAAAAGTGCACCAATTACGTGCCCCTTATGTGATGAGTGGTGTTGTCGTCTATTTCTTCTACCTTTGGTAGGTATGTGGTCATCGTTGCTGAACTCGCACAGCGATTCTTTGCCCTGTACTAAATTAGCAATTCATTTTATAACTATTTCTTAATTAATTTGTTGTAAATCTATTACATGAATAATATTGGATGATGAGGTTTTTAATTTCCCTGTGCCTAGTTATGGTGTGTGCGTCAGTGAAGTTTGTAATATCCAGAGGCAAGCTTATAAGGAGCAGAACAATCGTGCAATGGAATCAAACTAAGTCATTAGACATCTGGTTTGAGTGAATGGGAATCATTATTTGTAATAAACATATATATTTTTTTTCAAACTAAATAGACATTCTGGTTATGTTCCCAGAAAGTCTCGGTCATTCTACGTTAATTTTGTTAGTTAATCGATTTTATACGCTGAACCCAATAAAAATGGGTAAAAAGAGTATATTGTATTTGTGCAAAATGCAAATGTATGCAACAAGCAGAAGGAAGCATCTTCGACCCCATAAAGTATATGTATTCTTGATCAGCATCTATAGCCGAGTCGATCTAGCCATGTCTGTCTGTCTGTCCGTATGTATGAACGCAAGGATCTTAGAACCTATAAGGGCTAGAGACTTGAATTTTAGATGAAGGTCCTCCTGTGCCTGCGGAGATCGAGTTTGTTTCCGATATCGAGAATTTACTCCGTTTCCAAGCAATTTTCTCATTTTATACCTATCGCCACCTCCCCGCTACCACCCCAGAGCTATAAATCAAATTAAGCCACAATTTAAATGAAATTGACTTTTTGAAAATACACAAATATTTTGTGGTGCAGTAAGATATACTGTGGAAAATTTCATAAAGATCGGTTAAGAAAAACCAAAGTTATATGCAACTGCGCAATTGAATGGGGCAGCAGCTTTAAAAATTTCTGTATACATGTACACACACACATTCATGCGCGTCTGCTTCGCATTCTAACAGCATGGTAATTACGGCTTTTTTCTGTTATGCTATTTTAGTTCCTTTTTTATCACAAGTACTTAATTATTGGTGTGGCTGCTGAGTAGAGGCATAGCAAGTGGTGCGGTCTGTCGCGAGTTCGAGCGCTACAGGGGAAAGTATTTTTTTGCTGGTGTGGCTGTTGACTAGAATCGACAGCAAGTAATGCAGTTGCCAGTTCGAAACCTACCAAGGGAACTTTTATTTAAATTTATTTGGTGTTGGAATAAGAGGGTTCAGGGTATTCTTACATGTTATATATTACTCTTATGAACAACTCTTCCTGCTTCAGTTACTATGGTTGTATTCCTATTTTCTTTTACAGCCTCTTTCTTAAATCGTGGGGTTAGCTTAGAACCTTATCTTGTATTTAGCTTTACAAATATTTTTTGTCCTGATATGTTTGATTTCGTTACTTGTGTTGTTATGTGGTTTTAGATCTTCCATTTGTTTTTGTTTTAATTTCTCAATGTTATTTCGTATGCCTATGTCGTATTGTTCATGGTCAGTGTTTACATTTCTACCGAAATATAGCTCTAGTGGGCGTTTTTGGGTGACTGAGTGTATTGAATAATTATACTAATAGACGGCTCTATCTAATAATTCTTCGAATGTGTGATGTTCTTGTTGTATTTAAAAACATCTCTGAATTTCGGCGAGGGTAGATTGAAATCGTTCAACTTGTCCGTTTACAGAGCTTTTGTAAGAGGGTGCTTTAAAATTTCGATGCTTAACTGGTCTTTCATCATAAAGGTAATGGTTGCGGATTTAAAGGATTATTCGTTATCTATTAGAACATACGTTGGTACTCCAAAATAAAATAAAGTGTCGTGCAGAGATTTTCTTAGATCTTCTATTGATTTTGAATTAATGAGTTTTGCTTTGCAAGCTTTGAAAATTTATCTATCGCTGTTAATAATAATTACTGTTCTGTCGAAAATATGTCGATATGAATTGTATGCCCCGGAAACTCAGGAATTAGAATTTTCCTGAATTCTGGGTTCGGAGGATGCTTGTTGTTTTTTCCTTCTTTGCACACCTGACACTATTTCACTAAGGCTGCTATTCTCTGTTTCATTTTGAGGAAGAAATATTTATCGGATAATTGCAATTTGTTTTTCTGGGCATTTCTATGTGCTCAATTGTGTGTCTGTAAGATAAGTTCTTCCTGATCTGTTTCTTTTATTACATCCTCTACCTTTGTCTAAGTGAACCTAACATTAAAAGATCCGAAATGTTGCGGATATAGTCTTTGAATTTGACCAATTATATTTTCGTTTGTATTTTCTTAAAATTTGTATTAAATCATTGTCCGTAAAGTTATGTTGCGATATGGTGTGTCTATGGAAGGTGGGGAATGAAAATTTGATTTTTAAAAACTTTAATGGGAACCTCAATGCTGGGTATTAGATTGTGGCCAAAGCCATTGGCACTATGCTGCGTTGCGGTTAGCCAGAGTTCGCAAATTTCGGTCCTCACTTTCTGGTTGTCTGCAACAAAAGGGTTTATTTCCGACAGAATCAATAACGGCAAAGGAGACACTTTTCGCTACCACTTTTTTCGTTTTGCTCTTCGACAGACACTTATTTTCTGTGCGATCGGACGAATGTGTTCTGTTAAGATGTTTCTGTTAGACAGAACAGTGTGTATTGCTCAAGCAAAAGCACGAACAGAGTACACAAGCGCAACGAAAACAAGTAAGAGGTTCTAGTCGGGAGCTCCCGCTAGGGGATACCCTGAACCCTCTTATTCCAACACCAAATAAATTAATAAAAAAAAGTTCCCTTGGCAGGGCTCGAACTCGCGACAGACCGCTCCACTTGCTATGCCTCTAACCAACAGCCACACCAACAATTAAATACTTATGATAAAACAAGTAAGAGGTTCTAGTCGGTAGCTCCCGACTAGGGGATACCCTGAACCCTCTTCTTCCAACATCAAAGGCATATATATATTCTATTTTTATTATTTACAAAAATTGCCCAAAAAACAGGATATCGATTTTTATCGATTGCTTGGAAACGGAGTAAGTTATCGATTATCGGAAACAAACTCGATCTGCACGGGAACTAGGAGCATCTACATCTAAAATTTCAAGTCTCTAGCTCTTATAGGTTCTGAGATCCTTGCGTTCATACATACGGACGGAAGGACGGACGGACAGACAGACGGACATGGCTAGATCGACTCGGCTATTGATGTTGATCAAGAATATATATACTTTATGGGGTCGGAGATGCTTCCTTCTGCCTGTTACATACATTTGGATTTTGCACAAATACAATATACCCTTATACCCATTTTTAATGGGCTCAGGGTATAAAAAGTGTTCCATGGCGAGCGAAACCGAATCTGCTTCGCGATACCTACCGACTTTCCAATCACACTCGTGCATAAGTGGTTCGTGG